TACGGGGTTGGTGCTCCTGCCCCTGACTGGCTGCCTCTTGTTCAGCGCTACGGCTCCGCTCTGTGGGGCATGTCTGCTGAGCAGTTAGTTGATCTGATTGGTACTCCCCATGCTATGTATGCTGTTGTTGACTCTAGTGTTTCTGACTCTGCTTACTCTGGTGTTGTTAGCTTAGGTGCTAGCCTTGCTCAGTTGCCTGTTGCTAGTGTAGGTTCTTGTGTAGACTCTAGTCCAGCGGCTACCTCAGAGGACGGTTCGCTGTCGTTCACGCTGGACTCTGGAGCCTCTCACTGCTTCTTTCGTGACAGCACGACACTTACGCCTCTTCCTGCGCCTGTTTCTGTGGCGCTGGCTGATCCCACTTCGGGACCAGTCACCGCGCGTCACACTACCACCTTGCCGTGTCCGGCTGCTCCTTCTGGGTCTCTCACTGGGTTTCACGTCCCCTCGTTCTCCCGGAACTTGGTGGGCGTGCGACCCCTCGTGAGTCAGCACGTGGGTGTGTGGTTTGAGCCTTCTGGAGAGACTGCGGTGTGTGTTGACGGGGACTCTTACCAGCCCCTCGCCACTTTTGCTGCTGAGCCGGGCTCCGGTCTCTACACTCTTCACACTGGCCCGCGCGCTCAGCAGCGACTGCAGCAGCAGCAGCAGCCGCAACAGCAGCAGCAGCAGCAGCCGCAGCAGCAGCAGCGGCAGCAGCCGCAGCCGCAGCCACAGCGGCCGCCGTCGCAGCAGCCACTCCTCCCAGTTCCTGTCCCTCCCCCTAGTCTCCTCCCTGCGTCTCACCAGGTGGTTCCGTCCCCTCAGGTTGTCGCGTCCAGTCCAGTCGCTGCGTCTTGCTCCTGTCGGTCGCTTGCCCACCCCACCGTTCTGTGGCACCACCGGATGGGACACCCTTCTCTTCCACGTCTGCGTGCTATGTCTAGTCAGCGTCTGGTCTTAGGTCTCCCGCGTGTCTTGCCGTCGCTGCCGCCGTCCCTTGCACCACCGTGCGGTCCTTGCGTCGAGGGTAGGCTGCGTGCCACCCCTCACTCCTCCTCCCTTCGTCCGGCCACCGAGCCTTTTGAGACGCTGCACTTGGACGTCTGGGGCCCCTCTCCTCGCCCTGGCCCTGAGCGTGAGCGTTTCTTTTTGGTGGTCGTTGACGACTACTCCCGCTACACCACCGTGTTCCCCCTGGCGAGGAAGTCTGAGGTGACTTCTACGCTGATCAGGTGGTTGCTTACCACCCAGGACACTCGTGGTCGTCGTGTCAGCTGTCTCCACTCCGACCGCGGGGGCGAGTTTCGCTCCGGCATTCTCGCTGGATTCTGTCGCGAACAGGGCATTCGTCAGTCCTGGACGCTTCCGGAGTCCCCACAGCAGAATGGGGTTGCTGAGCGTCGCATAGGCCTGGTCATGGAGATTGCCCGCACCTCCTTGACTCACGCCCGTGCCCCCCATTTCCTGTGGCCATACGCAGTCAGGTACGCCGCGCACCAGCTGAACCTCTGGCCACGCGTCTCTCGGCCGGAGGCTTCACCGACCAGTCTTTGGACAGGGTCCCCTGGTGTCGCGTCGAGGTTTCGTGTCTGGGGGTGCTTGGCTCTTGTCCGCGACACCTCCGCGGACAAGCTCTCGCCTCGCGCCGTTCCTTGTGTCTTCCTTGGTTTCCCTGAGGACTCCTCTGACTTCACCTTTTACCACCCTCCCTCTCACCGGTTCTTTGACTCCCGTGACGTCCGTTTCGAGGAGTCCACCCCGTACTACGTCAGGTACCCCAGTCGAGGTCTCCCGGTTCCTCCTCCCCCCCTCTTCCTGACAGCCGCTCCCCCGCCTGCTCCCCCGGTACAGCCTCCCCCCCCTGGTCCAGCCCCGTCTGGTGTGTCTCAGGCTAGCCCTCCCCCTTCGGTAGCCCCCCCTGTACAGCCTCCCTCCCCACAGTCTTCCTCACCGCCTCCTGTAGGTGCTCCCTCTCGGGAGGTTGGTCCTGCGACTGTCCCTGTACAGGTCTCTGGTTCTGGGGGTGCTGGAGTTGGAGCTGAGCCGCGGGTTGCAGAGGACTCTTCTCTTCCGGGGGCTGGTACTGGTCGTGCGGAGTCTGGGGGTGCTGGTGCGGAGTCTGGGGGTGCTGCGTCTGGGGGTGAGGGTGTTCCTTCGGTTTCTGGAGAGCCTGGGTCTGGAGCTGGTGTTGGTGCTGCCTCTGGGGGTGGTGTGCTTGGTGCTTCGGAGGTCGACTCTGGGGCTGCCGCTGCCCCGGACACTACTCCTTCCCCCCACCCCTACCCGACCAGGTTCCAGGCTCGTGTTCGCCGTGCTCGTGAGGAGCAGCTGGAGTTGGAGAGAGAGGAGAGAGAGTTGCAGCGGCTCGAGGAGCAGGAGCGACAGCAGCAGGGGCAGCAGCCGCTGGAGCAGCAGCAGCCGCAGCAGCCGCAGCAGCCACAGCAGCAGCAGCAACAGCAGCAGCAGTTGCCGTCTCCTCCTCCTGTCTCGGGTCTTCGGACCCTTGGTCTCCCCTCTCCCTCTCCTTCCTCCTCCCCCTCTCCTCCCGTCTCTGGTCCTCCGCTTCCTCCTCCTGACCCCTCTCCCGCTGTTTTCCCTCGTTCTCAGTCTTCGTTGTCCCCTCCTCCTTCTCAGACTTGGGCCTCTCGTCGCTCCCCTCGTGCTCGTCCCTCGTCTCCTGTTCCCTTCACTGACCTTCGTACTGCCTTACTTCGTTCTAGTCCACCTCGTCCGTCTCCGTCTGTGCTTCCGTCTCCTCCTGAGTCGGCTCTCACTGCGTCGCTCCCTACTCCTGTCACAGACTACTACCGCACGTACCGTCCTCTTCTCTCTCGTGTTCTCGCCTCGCTTGTTACTCACCCTCGTGCCTCTGTGTCCTCTGTGTCCGCTCTTACTGCCGCAGTCACTGAGTTTGCCTCTACCCGCCGCCTTGACTTCGCCACCGCTCTTGTGGCTGCTCCTCCTTCCAGTCCTCTGGCCGTCGGGGGTGTGTCTGCCCTTGGCTGTGACGCCCTAGAGGACAGGCAGTTTGAGCTAGAGTTCCTGGCGGCCGCTTCCCCTCATCTCTGTGCCATGCTCCTCGCCCCTGAGGGTGACCCCGACGCCCTTGACATTCCGACTCCTCGCACTTACGCTGAGGCAGTGTCAGGGCCTTGGGCCTCTTAGTGGAGAGCTGCCATGGACGCAGAGATGGCCTCCTACAGATCCACAGGCACCTACGTCGATGAGGTTCCCCCTCCGGGGGCGAACGTAGTCGACGGCATGTGGATCTACAGGGTGAAGCGGCCACCGGGATCTCCTCCGGTCTTCAAGGCACGCTACGTGGCTAGAGGTTTCAGTCAGCGCGAGGGAGTTGACTTCTTTCAGACCTTCGCGCCCACCCCGAAGATGACCACTCTTCGGGTGTTACTACACGTAGCAGCACAGAGAGACTACGAGTTACACTCTCTCGACTTCTCTACTGCTTTCCTTCAGGGCAGTCTTCACGAGGAGGTCTGGTTGCGTCGTCCCTCTGCCTTCACTGGCTCTTTCCCTCCTGGGACCCAGTGGAGGCTGAGGCGACCGGTTTACGGTCTTCGTCAGGCTCCTCGTGAGTGGCACGACACCCTGCGTTCTACCCTGTCTGACCTTGGGTTCCAGCCGTCTTCTGCTGACCCGTCGCTGTTCGTTCGTCGTGGCCCCACACCTTTCTTTGTTCTGGTCTACGTTGACGACCTTGTTTTCGCCACCCCTGACAGGGTTGCTTTGGCACACGTGAAGTCCGAACTGCAGAAGAGACACACCTGCACTGATCTTGGTGAGCTGCGCCACTACCTTGGCCTGCAGATCACCAGGGACAGAGCTGCTCGCACCATTACACTTTCACAGTCGCACATGGTGCAGCAGGTCCTTCAGCGGTTCGGGCTTCAGCACTCCACAGTACAGCGCACACCTCTTGCTGTTGACCACAGACTCACTGGACCCTTTCCTGACGAGCCGTTCGAGCCTAGTGGTCCCTACGCAGAGCTTGTGGGTTGCCTCATGTACCTGATGACTTGTACTCGCCCGGACCTCGCCTTCCCTCTCAGCGTTCTTGCGCGCTTTGTTGCGCCAGGGAGACACCGTCCTGTTCACTGGACAGCAGCTGTGAGGGTGGCGAAGTACCTAGCGACGACGTCAGGCGTGGGGCTAGTTCTTGGAGGGCAGCAGTCTGTCGTACTTACTGGTCACTGTGACTCCTCTTACGCTGACGACGCTGAGACTCACAGGTCTACTCAGGGGTACTGTTTCAGCCTGGGTTCTGGAGCTGTTTCCTGGCGGTCCACGCGCTCCTCTTCGGTCTCGACCTCTACAGCTGAGGCTGAGATCTACGCTGGTGCCATGGCGGCACAGGAGCTGCGTTGGTTGACCTTCTTGCTCACCGACCTTGGTGAGCGGCCGAGCTCTGCACCGACCTTGTTCACTGACAACAAGGCGTCTATTCTCCTTTGTCGAGAGCCACGACTGGAGAGCAGAGTGAAGCACATTCACGTCAGGTACTTTCTTCTGCGAGAGTTGCAGAGGCGTGGACAGGCTCGCTTTGAGTTTGTGGAGTCCGAGGCCAACACTGCAGACATCTTCACCAAGGCGCTTCCGCCTTGTGACCACCAGAGGTGCTGTGTGCAGTTAGGCCTTGTTGACACTGGTTCTCGTGTTGCTTAGACTTGAGTGTACTGTTTACTTTGCTTTCTATATACCTCTGTTACTTCTTGGACTGGCCTTGTGGCCACTGTTGTTTGTGCTCAGACTGTGTGGTGACGTTGTGATCCACCCTGAGCTTCGTTTCTTGGACTGGTCTTGTGACCGTACTCGTTTGGTTCTGCTAGACACCCCTCACTTAGGCTATGGGGGTGTGTCAAATGTTGTAGCCTATAGTGAGGTTTGTCTTAGGGGGTACAAAACTTAGGGTTAGCTATATGTACCCCAACCAACATCAATGCATCATCCATTCTTCATTTTGACACTATGCATATGTGTACAATCTGTTGCCAATCTAATTCTTATGAAGACTCTTCAAGAGGAAATTGCACCGTCACCTTCTCACCATTTCTCAATAACTGAAGCGATACTGTTTGACCCGCTGACAGGTCATCAAGGGCCTTGTCCACATCAGCAGCCATTTTCACCTATAAATACATTGAGCGTGTCATTAGACAAGGGTTCAACATGGGGAGGATGGGATGAGGCAGAAAATGTAGCCAATCAACAAGCAGTCAGCAAACAAAACCAAGCAATGTAGCAAAAGAATCATACCTCTTACATATCACTCTGTGGACACAAATGTCTCAATCCCCCTTTTTCCGAGTCGCGTCGTAACATTTTGTCAACCTCGCGTCACAAAAAAGGAATGTATTGCGACACTAGGCGACCAGGCGAAATGTACAGTTGTGCGCTTTTGATTGGGTTTCGGAATTGACTGTACACCCGTTTCTTCAAACGCCTGGCTGGGGTGTGGTTTCGACGCGCGGGTTTTTTTCCCGCACGAAATTGGCATTGGGGGTTGTTTAGGTGCATTGACATTTCGAACCGCGTGCGACATTTTTCCATTGACGGGTCGATTTGCAACTCGTCCGCGATGTTAGCGCGTTTCACGCTAACCAATGAAAAATACAGTAATGGTCGCTAAAAGGCGATTCCGTTTGTGACATAATACGTTTTATGCTGTTTTTACGCGTCACAATAGGATTGAGACACAAATGTCCACACAGGAATGTACCCTTACAACAATATATTGATCAACAAATTCATTCGTAGCGGTTAAACACTTACAGTGCTTTGATCAATGGCCACAATCACATCTCCCAGCACAATGTTGCCTGCAAAGCCTCTCCTGGTAGCCGTCACTCCTGCCTTGGCTGCTGCTGAACCCGGCTTCACCTGGGGAGGGGTGGGAGGGGAGGGGTGGGAGGGGAGGGGTGGGAGGGGAGTGTGGGAGGGGAGTGTGGGAGGGGAGTGTGGGAGGGGAGTGTGGGAGGGGAGTGTGGGAGGGGAGTGTGGGAGGGGAGTGTGGGAGGGGAGTGTGGGAGGGGAGTGTGGGAGGGGAGTGTGGGAGGGGAGTGTGGGAGGGGAGCAAGGAAGAGGAATGATATGTGAGAGTGTCTTCACCTGGGGTCACCTGAGAGAGGGGTGGGAGGGAGAGAGGGGAAGTAGGTAGAGATTAAAGGCTAAAATGGAAAAGGTATGGGTCAGGTGGGAGGCGGACTGAGATGGCGAATAGTGTTATGGTGTCTCTGTCATATACCAAGCAGAAACCATGCATGATGACAATAATGACACCCCGCTACACTCCCCCACACTCACCCCACACTCCCCACACACTCGCCCCTCACTCCCCACTCACTCCCCACACACTCACCCCACACTCACCCCACACTCACCCCACACTCACCCCACACTCACCCCAAGAATCAGTGCTCCCGCTGCAACACCCAGCTGCCTGGCAATGCCGTCAGCCGCCAGCTGCACGTTTAGCGTTGGGCGAATCACCTGATGGGGCATGAAAGGAAGTGTGGGAGTGAGAAGTAAGCACGAAGAATCGCACACACAAAGGCGCCCAGCTGCCTGGCAATGCCGTGTGCAGCCAGCTGCACGTTTAGCGTTGGGCGAATCACCTGATGGGCATGGGGTTGGGGATGGGAATGGGGAGCACAAGTGAGTGACCCAGCTCTATTCTGCTCAGGTCCACCTGGCTGCTCAGCTCACTGCCTGGCAACGCCGTGTGTTGCCAGCTGCAGGTTCAACGTTGGGCGAATGACCTGATGGCCATGAATGGGGATGGGGATGGGGAGAAGGGCAAAAGAGGAGCACAAAGCGGGGAAGGAAGAGTAATCGTATCTGTGAAAATCTGTAAGAAGGCATTTGATTCGAAAAATATCATGAGAATTCCTTTTGGATCGATGAATGGAAAGCTGTTGCATTCGATTCTCGTCATGGTGAACATCTATGTTGCGGAAGACGCGTCTAGCGTCTTGGTCGGTTGCGTCTAGACGCTAGACGCAAGACGCGACTTGCGTCTTCGGCAACATAGGTGAACATCAGGGACATTCGACTCGGTATTCTAAAGGTATTTTGCCTAGCTATCTAACGAGCTATTTTATTGAGTACCAACAACATACTTAGCCTAACAACATAGTTCAATGTCCCACTCACCCTGCTGTCGTTCCTGCTCTTAAATGACTCAGCTTCTAATTCAGTACTTAAGTAGCTCACCTTCCCATACTGAATGATCTGGGGAACCACGCGAGCCACCACCGATACAGGGATGGCAAAGCCCCCACAGCCACCCTCCCTTCCTATGCAATTCCTGCAAAAAAGTAACCCTCTTACCCTTACTGTATGAAATCTAAGCCGCTCACCTTGCCATACTGGATGATCTGGGGAACCACGCGCGCCACCGCTGATACAGGAATGGCGAATCCCACGCCAGCAGATGTGCCCGTGTTGGTGTAGATGGCCGTGTTGATTCCGATGAGCCTTCCAGATGAGTCAAGCAGCGGGCCGCCACTGTTGGGAGGGAGAGAGGGGAAAAGGAAGGGGAGGAGGGCACAGGTTAGGATATGGAACGGCCATCTAGGGTTGGTGGGGAGGTGGTAGGGTGACTAACGATGTATGGACGTCCTTCTGCTGCTTTACTCGTCTGATCTGAATCCCACTCCAGCAGATGTGGCTGTGTTGGTATAGATGGCCGTGTTGATTCCGATGAGTCAAGCAGCGGGCCGCCACTGTTGGGGGGTTGAAGGGGAGACACGGGAGTTGGGGAAGAAAGAGGGGGTGGGGGGGAGGTGCTAGGGTGACTAACGATGTATGGATGATCGTCTGCTGGTTGACTCATCTGGAGCCCACTCCGACAGATGTGCCCGTGTTGGTGTAGATGGCCGTGTTGATTCCGATGAGCCTTTCAGAGGAGTCAAGCAGCGGGCCGCCACTGTTGAAAGGGAGGCAAGGGGAGGGAAAGGGAAGGGGAGTGGTGGAGAGGTGAGGATACGAATGACGTTCCCTGCACCCCCACCCACGTGTTGGTATAGATGGCCGTGTTGATTCCAATGAGCTTTCCAGAGGAGTCAAGCAGCGGGCCGCCACTGTTGGGAGAGGGAGGGGGGGAAGGTGGAGGGGAGAGGAAGGGAGGGGAGGGGAGTGGAGGGGGGGGAGAGGAGAGAGAGAAAACTTTGGGAGAGGAGTGGCGATTAAACATTCCATCACAATCATACCAGAGAAAACATAGGCTCTCACTCACACAAGCACACACACTCACACACTCACACACTCACACACTCACACACGCACATTCATATGCACTCTCCTACACGCACACTACTAAACCAAGAAGCACTCGCCTGTTGCCAGGGTTGATAGCGGCGCCTGTCTGAGATGATGGCAAGACAGCAGCACACGCACACACATTTATACTATGTGAATCTACCATAGAAGCACACTCACACAAGACAAGCACACTCACACAAGCCCAGCACACTCACACAAGCCCAGCACACTCGCCTGTTTCCGGGTTGATGGCAGCATCTGTCTGCACGTCCCCGCCCCCAACCCTCCCCCACACACACGACTCACGCGCACACACACAAGCCCATCCCTCATTCACCTGTTGCCGGGGTTGATAGCAGCGTCTGTCTGCACGCCCCCTGCGATCACCACGCCTGCTGTTTGTCTACAAACAAGAAGCACACTCCCACTCGACCATACTATTACATCAAGAAGCACACACAGTAAGCACACTCACCTGTTGCCGGGGTTGATGGCAGCGTCTGTCTGCACGCCCCCTGCGATCACCACGCCTGCTGCACTGTATATGTCTCGATTCACCCCACTCAAAACACCCGCTGTGAGCGTGTGGTCAAAGCCAAAGGGGTTGCCGATGGCATAGGACCGCTGCCCCACTCGCAGGGAGGAGGAGTCACCGAGGGGGAGCGGGCGGAGGAGGTTGGGAGGGGCGGAGACCTGGCAGATCAGGAAAAAAGAGAAAGGGGAAGGGAGCAGAGAAAGGAGGAGAGAAAGGGTATTCAAGAGCCCTTGGCACAAAAAACAGTTTTAATCGAAACTATAAAGCACATATATTGTTGAAGGAGCACTGACATCGGCCTAAAGGTTTAAGAAAACGGTTACGGGCCAAGATGGAATGGGGGATAATGGGGACGCCCACCCACAACGATAAATACCTTTTTAGCTTAGTGATCAGCGGCTGAACCTTCCGGCATGGTATCAGGGCAAAAGGTTGTGGGTTCGATTACCGATGTGCGCCATGAAAGGTGCAGCGCAGGTACTCGTAGGTTTACCCCAATGAAGGGGAACATTTGAAGAGCACTGGGATCGGCCTCAGGTCTTGACAAGGGTTTTGAACAAAGATGGGCTGAGTAGTTACCTGTATGGTGCGCTCACCCGCTCTGGAACAAATCCCTTGTAACCCAGTGCTTAGCAATTGAGCGTTTCCAACAATTTTTACCCCACTAAGGACTTTTGGGGGTCGACTCAAAAGGTTACCTCGCTAAGCATCTTAAACAAACGGATTTAGGGTTGAACCCAACCCAATCACCTTAAGTACTGCCAGGTCCTTGGTCCGGTCAGCCCCCACTAGCACTCCCTTGAAATTTTGTCAAGTCAAAAGACGACAAGCTAATGGTCCGTTTAGATCGATAGTTGTCTCACCTTGAGTACTGCCAGGTCTTTGGTCCGGTCAGCCCCCACCAGCACTCCCTCCAGATTGCGCTGAAAGCTGGTGGGATAAAAGGAGTCAGGGAGGGAGGGGGGATAAGAAACGAGGAGTGGTCTAAGGTGCCTAAGTTGTCATTTACGCTTATAGCATATATACGCTTATCGTATATACGCTAGCATATATAAGCTATCCGCTTAGGGGGCGATTTGGACATACGCTTTTTCGGGCAGGGAAAAACTTTCCTGGGCAGGGCAAAAACAACCGCCAGAGCTATTATAGGGGGGGATCTAAGGTGTTATGTTTCAGAGGCGATTTTTTTGGACATACACACATTACTACATAGCACGACTTAGCAATTCCACAATTACCCCCCCTACTCTACCTACCACTAGGCATACTCGTCCTCCAGCAGGTCATCCTCGCTTGCACAAATCGCGGACGTGCATTTCGATTTCGGCAAAAGCTCGCATTCAATTCCGCAACTTTCCGCATATTCACATTTTTCCGGTCGGGCTGCCCCAAAAAAATATTTGCAAGCGTTTAGCGTGTTTGCTGGTGTTAAGCATTTTGTGTGTAAACGCCAGCGTATATCCGCTAAACGCAAAGGGTCTCTAGCGTATTTGGCAACTTAGGAGAGAGGGATGAGGGATGAGAGTGATAAGGACGAGGGAAACAAGGGACATGATAATTGGTGATGGTTGGATCAGCCCCCACCAGCACTCCCTCCAGATTGCGCTGAAAGCTGGTGGGATTAAAAAAGGGACGGAGGGGAAAGGAAAGGAGGGGGAAGTGGTTTCAGGTGCCTAAGCATGGCAAGGGAAGAGGGGGACGAGGGATGAGATTGGTAGGGATGGGGGGAACAAAGGGTAGTTTTGTAAGCATCTGTTCACTTCACCGCAATGCACCGCACTCAACTCACCCGTCTGCCCCTAGCAGAGTGACTCTAACAATGAGGGGTTTTGCAAGAGTGCACTCCCAACCGCGTTGTAGTTGGTAAAAATGTTACCACCTGCTCACCGCACCGCACCGCACTCAACTCACCCGTCTGTCCCGAGCAGGGTGACTCTGGCAATAGTCCGCCCAGCAGGGGGGTTTTGCGAGAGTGCACTCCCAACCACGTGGTAATTGGTAACAATGTAACCGTCGCTGTTCCACACCACTCCCGACCCGTTCCCCTCCGGCACCTCCACCTGCCCCGTGGTGTTCATGCTTGGCCGTAGAGTCACGTCGAATATGTTCACGACCGAGTAGGTGGTGCGTTCGAAAAGGGATACTGTTGCCTCCTGTGGTGGTAGTAGGGAGGGGTGGAAAGGGAAGGGAGGTCACTTGGTTTGATCCGCATTCGACCAACCCGTTCCCCTCCGGCACCTCCACCTGCCCTGTCGTGTTCATGCTTGGCCTTAGAGTCACGTCGAATATATTCACCACTGAGTAGGTGGTGCGTTCGAATAGAGCCACTGTTGCTTCCTGTGAGGGAGGAAAGGGAAGGGAAGTTTCTTGATTTGATCAGCATTTAGCCAACCCGTTCCCCTCCGGCACCTCTCTCCACCTGCCCCCTGGTGTTCATACTCGGGCGCAGGGTCACATCAAATATGTTGACCACTGAATTAAGTAGTTCGCTCAAACAGCGATACTGTTGCTTCCTGGAGTAATAGGGAGGGAAGAAAGAGACAGGAAGTCACTTGATCTAGTCACCCTTCGACCCATCATTCCCCTCCGGCACCTCTCTCCACCTGCCCCGTGGTGTTCATGCTTGGCCGCAGAGTCACATCAAATATGTTGACGACAATAGGTGGTACGCTCGAAGAGGGCCACTGTGGCGTGGCTTCCTAGGGTAGTAGGAAGGAAAGGGTAGAAACCCAAGGGAAGCCACTTGATTCGATCAGCATTCATTCAGCTCGCACCGTTCCCCTCCGGCACCTCTCTCCACCTGCCCCGTCGTGTTCATGCTCGGCCGCAAGGTGACGTTGAATATGTTAACCACTGAATAGGTGGTGCGTTCAAACAGTGCCACTGTTGCCTCCTGAGAGATGGAAGGGGAAGGGAGCATGGAGGGAGCGTAGAAGGAGGTCAAGATTGCAGGCAACCCCATCAGCAGCAACCCCCCATTGTTCCCCTCCGGCACCTCCACCTGCCCCGTGGTGTTCATGATGGGTCGCAGAGTCACATCGGGGCAGGCGGAGGTGCCGGAGGGCAGTATATGTTGCTCCCGACCGAATAGGTGGTTCGCTCAAACAACGATACTGTTGCTCCCTGTGGTGGTGGGGAAGGGAGGAAAGGGAAGGGAGGTCAATTTACTTGATCAGCATTCATCCGACCCGTTCCACCTGTTTCTCTGGCGTATCTAGCAGTTTCCAGGTGTATTTGCGTATTTCGTACATACGCTAGCAAATATACGCAACACGCCCCCACCCCCCAAGGGCATGTCTGCCAACTTAGCTCCCTCCCTCCTACTCTTGTTGTGAGTTTCGACGACACATTGGATACAGTCACCACTCTCTGGCACTCCCTCCCTACTCCCACTCCCACTCTCACTCCCACTCCCACTCTCACTCCCACTCCCACTCTCACTCCCACTCTCACTCCCACTCTCACTCCCACTCCCGCACTCATTCTCACTCCCGCACTCATTCTCACTCCCACACTCATTCTCACTCCCCTCACCTCAGCAGCAGGCAGTTTGCCAGCTGGCGTGACGTCACGGGTGACGTCAGCAATGGTGACTGAAGGATCGCCCAGGGCTGGGACTGGCGTGCGGGGGAGGTGAAAGGGGGGAGGGGGGGAGGGGGGGAGGGGGGGAGGAGGGGAGAAGGAGGGGGAGAGATGATAGGGCGACATGAGGCGGGCTAGTAACTGCCCAGGGCGGGTACTGACGAGCAGGGGAGGTGGGGTTACGAAGAGGGGAGAGAGGATGTAGCATCACGCAGTGGGTTAACAGGAGGCGGCGAGGAAAAGGGCGGGGCGGAGCGTGTGGATGGGGGAAAGGGGGGGGGGGGGGGGGGGGGGGGGGGGGTTGGGGGTGTGTGAGAACGGGGAGATGAGAAGAAGACGAAGGATATGGCAGAAATTGTAACAGCTCAGAAGATATGGAGGCAGGGAGGCGGGTCTCACCTGCGGGAGCAGGGGGCGCGAGCAGCGCGACGGAGAGGGGGAGGGCGGACGAGAGGAGCGCTCGTCTGCGGACGGCGGAGGGGAATGGGCGAGCGGAATGGGGGAGGGTGAGGGGAATGGAGGCGGGGAACGGGGAATCGGGATGCGGAATGGGGAATCGGGATGGCGCGGGCGGTAAGCGCTCGGAAAACATGCGCGTGTTTGCCCCGAAATTCTGCGCAATTTCTTCCGAATCCGCCACAAGCTTCGGGCGCAGCCTCCCGCTCTCCGCCAGTGCCTCTACCTCGTCACGCCGTTTCCCCCTTGCTCCGCCAAGTCCGCGCACTTTCCGCGCGACTCGCTCCCCGCGCGGCTGGCATCCGCCCGCACTCCGCGAACCGGCGGATTGCGCACATGCCGTTCCGACCCGCGCGCGCCCGCGGGTTTGCGCAGCAGTGCGCGCGCGTCTGGGCGCAGCCACGGGGAAGCAAGCGCGGCGCAGTGCGGATGGCGAAGCGCTTCCATTGCGGAAGCGGAAGCGGAAGCGAAGAATCGCGCAGTGTCTGCTAGGAGAGGCGGAGAACCTCCCGCGATGCGCCACTCGTTTTCAAGGGGGAAAGGGATGGATGGAGCAACAAATACAGGCGAGGGCGTAATAGGGGGCGGGCGTCTCACCGAAAGTTTGAATGCGCCTTAGCAAATTGCTTTACGTTCTAGAACGTTCGAATAGGATTCGACAACGGTTGGGTAGGTTAAGCGCGAAAACCAGCACAGGGCTGACTTGACCGTGCCGTGAGTCCATGACTTGACAATCACAAATACTCCGAAGGCTGATTCGTTAGTAATGCCTTACGCTTGTTTGTTTACCACAGTCGTAAACGTTTATGTGATAATACGTATCTACATGAATAAGACCGCAGCTTTGGCCATCTCTTATTTCTTCACTTGATCTAACTCTTGCTTGTCCGTTGAATGGTGAAACTCGGCACATTTGTCTACTAAAACATTGCATTGTAAACCTCCTCCCATATATTTGCAAACAATGCAGTCGATAAATACCTCTCGCCAAAACTTGGCAGAATGGCCTGCAACACAACATGATGGAAAAAAACATCATTATACCCAATTGATTGGATGTAACGGTGACATTTGATTGGATGTAACGGTGACATACCATGCCGGGAATGATGTAGGAGGGGTGTACGGGACAGAAGGGGAGGGTTGGGGGCAGTGGGGTGCAAAGGGAGGGTGGACGGGGAGGGTCAGGGGGTAAGATAAGAGTGTCAGGTTGGGGAAAAAACATACCACCACCATTTTTCCAGCATATTCAGGCCGCTTCGCAACTTCGATCGCAGCAACCACCACCGCACCAGAGGAGATGCCCACCTGAGATTCCAAGGCAATGCAACCAGGACCAGACACGGGGTGAGACAAGGGTGTCAGGTGGGCATTTCCTCTGGTCCTGGTTGCAACGCCCACCTGAGATTCCATAGCATTGCAACCAGGACCAGACACGGGGTGAGACAAGGGTGTCAGGTGGGCATTTCCTCTGGTCCTGGTTGAAATGCCCACCTGAGATTCCATAGCATGGCAACCAGGACCAGACACGGGGTGAGACAAGGGTGTCAGGTGGGCATTTCCTCTGGTCCTGGTTGAAATGCCCACCTGAGATTCCATAGCATGGCAACCAGGACCAGACACGGGGTGAGACAAGGGTGTCAGGTGGGCATTTCCTCTGGTCCTGGTTGAAATGCCCACCTGAGATTCCATAGCATGGCAACCAGGACCAGACACGGGGTGAGACAAGGGTGTCAGGTGGGCATTTCCTCTGGTCCTGGTTGAAATGCCCACCTGAGATTCCATAGCATGGCAACCAGGACCAGACACGGGGTGAGACAAGGGTGTCAGGTGGGCATTTCCTCTGGTCCTGGTTGAAATGCCCACCTGAGATTCCATAGCATTGCAACCAGGACCAGACACGGGGTGAGACAAGGGTGTCAGGTGGGCATTTCCTCTGGTCCTGGTTGAAATGCCCACCTGAGATTCCATAGCATGGCAACCAGGACCAGACACGGGGTGAGACAAGGGTGTCAGGTGGGCATTTCCTCTGGTCCTGGTTGAAATGCCCACCTGAGATTCCATAGCATGGCAACCAGGACCAGACACGGGGTGAGACAAGGGTGTCAGGTGGGCATTTCCTCTGGTCCTGGTTGAAATGCCCACCTGAGATTCCATAGCATGGCAACCAGGACCAGACACGGGGTGAGACAAGGGTGTCAGGTGGGCATTTCCTCTGGTCCTGGTTGAAATGCCCACCTGAGATTCCATAGCATGGCAACCAGGACCAGACACGGGGTGAGACAAGGGTGTCAGGTGGGCATTTCCTCTGGTCCTGGTTGAAATGCCCACCTGAGATTCCATAGCATTGCAACCAGGACCAGACACGGGGTGAGACAAGGGTGTCAGGTGGGCATTTCCTCTGGTCCTGGTTGAAATGCCCACCTGAGATTCCATAGCATGGCAACCAGGACCAGACACGGGGTGAGACAAGGGTGTCAGGTGGGCATTTCCTCTGGTCCTGGTTGAAATGCCCACCTGAGATTCCATAGCATGGCAACCAGGACCAGACACGGGGTGAGACAAGGGTGTCAGGTGGGCATTTCCTCTGGTCCTGGTTGAAATGCCCACCTGAGATTCCATAGCATGGCAACCAGGACCAGACACGGGGTGAGACAAGGGTGTCAGGTGGGCATTTCCTCTGGTCCTGGTTGAAATGCCCACCTGAGATTCCATAGCATGGCAACCAGGACCAGACACGGGGTGAGACAAGGGTGTCAGGTGGGCATTTCCTCTGGTCCTGGTTGAAATGCCCACCTGAGATTCCATAGCATGGCAACCAGGACCAGACACGGGGTGAGACAAGGGTGTCAGGTGGGCATTTCCTCTGGTCCTGGTTGAAATGCCCACCTGAGATTCCATAGCATGGCAACCAGGACCAGACACGGGGTGAGACAAGGGTGTCAGGTGGGCATTTCCTCTGGTCCTGGTTGAAATGCCCACCTGAGATTCCATAGCATTGCAACCAGGACCAGACACGGGGTGAGACAAGGGTGTCAGGTGGGCATTTCCTCTGGTCCTGGTTGAAATGCCCACCTGAGATTCCATAGCATTGCAACCAGGACCAGACACGGGGTGAGACAAGGGTGTCAGGTGGGCATTTCCTCTGGTCCTGGTTGAAATGCCCACCTGAGATTCCATAGCATGGCAACCAGGACCAGACACGGGGTGAGACAAGGGTGTCAGGTGGGCATTTCCTCTGGTCCTGGTTGAAATGCCCACCTGAGATTCCATAGCATTGCAACCAGGACCAGACACGGGGTGAGACAAGGGTGTCAGGTGGGCATTTCCTCTGGTCCTGGTTGAAATGCCCACCTGAGATTCCATAGCATGGCAACCAGGACCAGACACGGGGTGAGACAAGGGTGTCAGGTGGGCATTTCCTCTGGTCCTGGTTGAAATGCCCACCTGAGATTCCATAGCATGGCAACCAGGACCAGACACGGGGTGAGACAAGGGTGTCAGGTGGGCATTTCCTCTGGTCCTGGTTGAAATGCCCACCTGAGATTCCATAGCATGGCAACCAGGACCAGACACGGGGTGAGACAAGGGTGTCAGGTGGGCATTTCCTCTGGTCCTGGTTGAAATGCCCACCTGAGATTCCATAGCATGGCAACCAGGACCAGACACGGGGTGAGACAAGGGTGTCAGGTGGGCATTTCCTCTGGTCCTGGTTGAAATGCCCACCTGAGATTCCATAGCATGGCAACCAGGACCAGACACGGGGTGAGACAAGGGTGTCAGGTGGGCATTTCCTCTGGTCCTGGTTGAAATGCCCACCTGAGATTCCATAGCATGGCAACCAGGACCAGACACGGGGTGAGACAAGGGTGTCAGGTGGGCATTTCCTCTGGTCCTGGTTGAAATGCCCACCTGAGATTCCATAGCATGGCAACCAGGACCAGAGAAGAGCTGAGACAACCACAGTCATTGCTCTCCTTCCAGTGCAATCATTGCGCGACAACCACAGTCATTGATATCCAGGTGTGTTTTTTGTCGACTCAAAACACACGTTGGTTGCAGGAACCAAAGAACTTCAAATGAATTTCAAGTGAACACGCCAATGAGTTGTTTGGGTGCGAAGCAACCCACCAGCATGCCCTCCTTGAGTGCCAGCTGGCACGCCATCTGGATCGAGTCATCATCATAAGCAGGGAGGCCAAGGCGTATATATATTCTATTGGGTGTGTGCACTGCACAAGCGACGGCTCAGCTCACCAGCATGCCCTCCTTGAGTGTCAGCTGCCGCGCCATCTGGATGGCATCATCATCGTAAGCAGGGAGGTCAGGGTGTATATCTTTTGGTGATATCGTTTAAGGCGCAACAACAAGTGGCGGGGGAGTGAAGAAACTAGAAACCCACCAGCATGCCCTCTTTGAGTGCCAGCTGGCGTGCCATCTGGATCGAGTCATCACTGCTGACCTGGCAGGGGCGGTGATGGAGGGAGGGAGGTAAGGGCATGACGTCATCATACGCAGGAAAGTCAAGGCGGGTACGTAGATTGATGACATCAGCACGAAGATGACACACATCGCTCACCATTTTGACAATACCAACAATGTGAAAAACAAGCTCAGATGTGTACTCAAGATGAGCTCAACAAGCTCAGTGCGTTTTCTGAGATGTTTATGAAAACACATGACACCATTCATCAGCACCCACTGAAATGACCTCAGCACTCACCATGGTGACATCAGCGCTCACCGTGATGACATCAGCACTCATCGCGATGACCTCATCGAATAATTTCTTGACCAAAAAATGGTTGTGCAGCGGTGTGGTGCGGTGTGGTGTGGTACGGTGTAGTGCGGTGGCAATGCGGAGTGGTGAGGTGACCTCTGCACTCACCGCGAAAACCTCAGCCACCATTTTATCATCCAGAATGGAGGTGGTGCGGTGTAGAGTGGTGTAGTGCGGTGCGGTGTGGTGCGGTGACACAGCCCTCATTCACCGCAATGACCTCATCGAGCATGCTTTCGCCCAGAATGGTGGTGGTTGCAGTGTGGTGTGGTGTGGTGTGGTGTAGTGCGGTTCTAATGCATTGCGGTGTGGGGCAGTGTAGAGGGTGTGGTCTAGTGTGGTGACATCAGCACTCACCGCGATGACCTCATCGATCATGCTCTCATCCAAAATGCTCGGAATGAACCCCGCTCCAATGCCCTGGATCATGTGTGGTCCTGCATAGTGGAGTGCGGTGGAGTGTGGTGTGGTGGGGCATGGTCGGGTGTGGTGGGTGAAGCATGGTGGGGCGTGGTATGATGTGGTATAGTGTGGTATGACATGCGATAATACGGCGTATGGTCACGAGATAACAAGAATTGCCTCATACTCACTGAAACATCAGTGTATGGTGAAATTCCAAGACATAACAGGAATATGGTGGTATGACTTACTTATCCACCGTATTGACTGTGATTTGCCCTGACGATGTATTTTAGGGTGATACAGCAGACCAGATTACATAAGCTGAATAGAGTGGTTCACATTAGATATCCACCTCTTTTTATATGGTTACAGATGCAATAAGCCCTCCACCCATCCACCGCCCCTCTGTTGATCTCACCTGGGTATCCACCTGACAGGATATTTGACTCCTCAGGCTCCACTGCAATTATCTGCCAGGCATACGCCACAGGGTTGATGGGATGACGGGATGATGGGATGATGAAATGACTACTCCACTATTGATGACTCTGCTGTACTTTGGTTTGATTGTATCGTGGTGCGGGTGTCCGGTGGTGTGACAGTAGGAATGGAAGACACTAGCTTTTCTATCATAACTTCCATCGACGCTCGGCTTCTTGCTCTTGAGGTATTTTCCCACCCCATGGCAGTGCCGTTAGTGCCAACACCACACACCACCGTATCACACACACACACACACACACACACACACACACACGCACACGCACACGCACACGCACACGCACACGCACACGCACACACACACACACACACACACACACACACACACACACACACACACACACACACACACCTGCCCATCCCTTCCAGACCTCTTATGTGCTGCAAACACATCAACCCGTCTCACCTTCACGCCCGGCTTCTTGCTCTTGAGATACTGCCCCACGCCCATGGCCGTGCCAGTGGTGCCGACACCGCACACCACCGCACCAAACACCTGCCCATCAACTCCAGAGCACAATACCCCATCCACCTCACCTTGAACGCTCGCCTTACTCTTGAGACACTGCTCCAACACCACATGCCACCGCACACCACCGCACCACACACCTGCCCATCCCCTCCAGCACTACTACACCGTGCCTCACCTTCACGCCCGGCTTCTTGCTCTTGAGATGCTGCCCCACGCCCATGGCTGTGTTACCAGAGCCGATACCGCACATCACCGCACCACACACCTGTCCGTCACTACTACACCCCCCCTCACATTGACGCTCGGCTTTTTGCTCTTGAGATACTGTCCCACGGCCATGGCCATGCCTTTAGTGCCAATACCGCACACCACCGCACTATACACCTGCCCATCCCGTCCATACCCCCCTTGTTCTCACCTTGACACTCGGCTTCTTGCTCTTAAGATATTGCCCCACGCCCATGGCTGTGCCGCCAGTGCCAATACCGCACACCACCGCATCAACTCGCCCCTCTGTGTCCTCCCAAATCTCCCTCCCTGTCGTCTCAAAGTGAATCTGCTTTGGGCAAATAGAGGACGGACTAAATGGGCGACGTTGGTGTGAAGGAGCGGGTGTGAACTCATGGGAAACAATAAAGCTATCAGGTCTAGACATAACAGCAATTAACGGATTGAAAGCCGTGCCTTGATAAGAGGGTAATATTACACGACTGTAACCTTTTATTGATTGTTTCTATAAGTGGTATTGAACGATCACGGTGAAGCGTGGCGTGGTGATGTCACTTAACCACAATAGAGTTCCAACATTTGTTCTTGATTAGCGGGGATGTTATTAACGAACGATTTCACGTTGCTACATCATTCAGAAATCCAACAGTTTTCCCTCTAAAACCCAATACAATGCCAATTAGAGAAGACCCAACATCTTGCAGTAAACCCACCCTGCCAAATTGTCAATGACCCAGCATCTCCCACGCACCTTGGTGTTGGCTTCGTTCTCAAACTGCTGAGGCATGAAGGCATGTTTGGAGTGACTCACAATCTCCTTGGCCTTAATGATGGCCCCCCTCATGCCCTGCCGTCAAGTCAAGCAGGCAGAATGAGATAGGAACAGTATGGCTTGTGAGTCGCCTCAAGGGTCGGGAGCATGAAGGCGTGTTTGGAGTGGCTCACGATCTCCTTGGCGCGAATAATGGCTCCCCGCATGCCCTGCATCGAAGCAATGTGTGGCGGCAACAGCATGAATGACTATTCGAGTGGACTCAAGGGTCGGCGGAACGAAGGCATGCTTCGAGTGGCTCACAATCTCCTTGGATTGGCGCGAATGGTGCTTTTCCGCAAGCCCAGCCGTCAAGTCAAGTCACGTCACATCAAGAAGGGAGTGATGGGATCAGCATGACTTGTGAGTCGATTCAAGGGACGGTGCTGGGGATAGCATGGTTTGAATTTCCTTGGCTTGGTCCCAAATGATGCCTCTCCGCATGCCCTGCCCCCAAATGATGCCTCTCCGCATGCCCTGCCCCCGAATGATGCCACAAAGCAGAGGGTGGTGACAACACATAAATCAGCTCACAATCTCCTTGGCTTGCCCCTGATGATAGCTTCCCTCATGCCCGGGCGTTAAGCATGCCAAGTCAAGCAAAGCTGCTTGGGTGTAATGACAACCAACTCTTCAGTCGATGCAAAAACCGGCTCACACCAATTGAGTCGGGGTGCATGATATCATCGGCCAGGCCAATTCACGCATTACTGAAGACAGTCCCTCCCCGTCAGATTTTTCTAGACGACTCAAAAGAAAGCGGATTAACGTACGAAGTCGGGGTGCATGAGCAGATCGATTCAATCCCACCTAAGCTCGGTCAGTCAAAACTAGTTTCGCCCCGTCGTCTTTCCATAAAGAAAAGTCAACATCGCTTCTCCAGGGTCAAGAAAACGTCACTCACCTCATCGGGGTCCGTCAAGACGAGGTCGGCCCCGAAGGCCTTGAGCAGCACGCGGCGCTCGAGGCTCATGGAGGCGGGCATGGTGAGGACGAGCTTGTAGCCCCTCGCCGCTGCTATGAACGCCAAGCCGATGCCCGTGTTGCCCGACGTTGGCTCCACCAGCACGCTCTAGGGGGAGGGGATGGGGGAGGGAACAGGGAGATACAGGATAACAGTGGGAGACCTTAAGCCAAGCCGATGCCCGTGTTGCCCGACGTCGGCTCCACCAGCACGCTCTGAGTGGATGGGGAGGACAAGCAGGACAAGGAGTTTTGTGACCACGAAATTGGCACCTCAAATCCCCGTGTTGCCCGACGTCGGCTCCACCAGCACGCTCTGAAGGGAAGGGATGGGGGGGTGAATAGAGGGAATCAAGGGGAGCTCACAGCCCAGCGATGCCTGTGTTGCCCGACGTCGGCTCCACCAGCACGCTCTGGGGGAAAAGGAGAGGAGAAATGGGAAACACGCAACAAGGGGGAAGTAGCAAGTGAAATAAGGTACCTCTCTTACATGCACGCACACACGGGCGAGCTTCAACAAGAAGTGGCTGTCTGACATTATATCTCGTTTCATCGTGTCTATGACCCCTATGAGGAGGTTTTCCACTCGCAAATGATCGGTATCCTGGTCGCAAAAACGGAAAATCAGCTATTTGACGCCATCCCTGCAGTGCAGTGGCTGCCTGATATCACCTTGCCGCCCATAATCAACCTCTCGTGCCACAAGTGCGCGATCTGCACCAGCAACCATCGGACTAGGGATTGTAACTGCAACAAATTCGAGCTTCCAACCAAATAGTACCAGATCACCGCTCACAAGCAGCAGATCAAGACTTGATCGCAGGTCCGATAGTTGTTCGCACTTGTGACACGAGAGGTTGATTATGAGCGGCGAGGTGACATCAGTCAGCCACAACACTACGGGGATGGCGTTAAACAGTTGATCGTCCGCTCCTGCAATCAGGATCCCTATCATCTCCAAGCGAAAATCCTCCTCATAAGGATCACAGACTCGATGAAATGAGAGAATGTCGGACCCGAGCGTCAAATGTGACCCTCCTCAAAAAATCACCTCCTCCACGTTTGCAATCAGGCTGTACCCCATGTGGTCCTTAATGCTCCCACACGGCTCCAGCTTGCACACTATGCTCCCCACAGAGCGGCACAATCATACATCCACACGCACATGCGTCCCACACACACACAGTAGCGCGCACACCTTGCCTGGCTTGATCAGCCCTTTCTCCTCTGCGTCTGCAATCATGCTGTACCCCACGCGGTCCTTAATGCTCCCACACGGCTCCATGCCCTCCAGCTTGCACACTATGCTCCCCACACACCCCTCCGCCAGTTTGTTCAGATACACCATGGGCGTGCGACCGATGAGCTGGGGGGGGTTTCAGGATGTGTGACAGGGTGGCAAGGGGAGGGTTGGAGGTATGAGCCTCGGCTTGCACACAATGCTACCCAGCTTGTCAGAGGTTCTCCTTGATGCTCACACCACACGGCTCCATCCAGCTTGCACACTATGCTCCCCACACACACCTCCGCCGATTAGCTGGGGAGGGGGTCAGGGTGTGTGAGAGGGTGGCCGGGGAGAGATGAAGCGATGAGCCTCTCAGCTTGCACGCTATGCTTCCCGCACACCCCTCCGCCACCTTGCTCAGATACATACACCACGGGCGTGCGACGGATGAGCCAAGGAGCGTGTCGGGTGCAGGGAGTGGCACGACAGAAAATGAGGGGGAGAGATGGGTGCGCCACAGCTTGCACTCAATGCTTCCCACCCACACTCATATACCCAGTTCAGATTATAGAGACGCATCAAATCCGATGAGCCAGGGAGCATACGGGTGCAGGGCGTGGCACGAGAGGAACCAGGGGAGAGATGGATGAGCCTCAGCTCAATGCTCCCCAACCACACTCAATGCTCCCCAACCACACTCAATGCTCCCCAACCACACTCAATGCTCCCCAACCACACTCAATGCTCCCCAACCACACTCAATGCTCCCCAACCACACTCAAATCGCCAAGTTCAGGTTACCTTTAGGGACGCCTCAACCCGCTATGATGAACCGCCTCAGCCTGCACTCAATGCTTCCCACCCACACTCATATCACCAAGCTCAGATAAACTTTTGTCACGGGAATGGCAGTATTAACTGAATAGCTGAGAGAGTCAGCAGTCACAGAGTGGCAGGAAGCGCAACGGAATGTCCAAGGGAAGAGAAACGGCATACCTGAGTGACGTCATCAGCAATGTTGGTGTCTGGTCGTTTTGGCCCCTTATGGCGATGCTGCTGGTGCGGGTGATGCGGGTTCAGAACCGACAAGGCGCTTTTCAGTCCCCATATAAACTGCATCGTTTCCAACCTCCTTCCTCCTGTCAAACCGACCCCTTCCTTTTGGTGTGTGCTTGTTATCCCCCTTCTTGAATGGCTCTACAGAAAATATGAGATGTCTTTTGGTCCCGATTAATAAAATAACCAAGCCGAGGAGCTTTATCAATAAACACACAGAAGTGCCGATTTCGCAGACGTAAGGAGAATTGACCTAATGAACGAACCGTCCGTTATCCAGAGAGCACAACCTTGGGATTTGATTACAGCAACCCTAGGTTTCCCGCTAAGCTCAGGTCAGTGACTGGGTCGCTCTTGGATCAGTAACTGTCTGTGTCAGTTTATGGATTTGAAGAAACAGACCAGGAAGCCAGTTGCTGAGGGCCTGCAGTAGCGAGCCTAGAGGACTTTAAACCAGATGACGCCAGCAGTTGAAGCGTGAGTCTGCGACTCAGCAGAGACAGCGTAAATGAAACGTTTGCGGGCTATCAGGCTTGAAACGCCGATAGACGGGTGAATCTGTTAGTGCAGAGACAGCGTAAACGCAACAGGGAGCTGCTTAGTAGTATTAGTCGCGAGGAAATCGCGAAGGTCGTAGCTTTACTGCATTCCAGTGCCACGAGAGGATTCCCTGACAAAGCGCCTTGCATTCACGAGAAGAACGGGATGCGACGTTCTGCGCTGTCGGCCAGAGCCACAGCAGTTCTGCATCTGATTCGCCATTGTTTAGGACGTGTCACCTATGTTCAATGGTAACTTCTCACAAATCCTCATTTACACGTGATTCGTCATAGGACCCCTGAGCTGTCCTCGCTAGGAGTCAGAGAACCTGGTTCAGAGTACTGTACAGCGGATTTGGACTCGGCGACAAGCAACCCTGTGGGGATACAGCTTCTGCCACCCTGGAATCGCTCGAACCCGAAAATATTCGACAAAGAGAGCATCAATAACAGAATTGACTGCCCTTACTACTATTACTACGGGTATTTTTCATTGATTCTAATATGGAAAGTGGAACTGGCATGTTTTCTAGAAGAATCTCGATGTAAGAACACAGTGGTTCGATTAGTGATGTTCGTGTACCTTCCAAGATTCTAAAGTTGATGCTGCAAACGTGCCTGAATTTTAATGATCAGAAAGATGGCCGGCCAGATATGATTGGAGACGGCACATCCCCGTGGAGGTTCGGGATCAGGTTGTCAGATCAGAGGGATCTGCCAGCAAATTGGTGGGAGCATCTCCCAGTTTCGCCAAACAGCTTCGCAATGCAGATATTTTGGTGATTGCGTCCAGCTTCTCCTTTTCGCAGAAGGGCGAGCTTCGCTAGCGTCCTCGAAGTGGGGAAGATTGTTGCTTCCGCGCAGGCGAAGTCCTCGAAGCTCCCCCCTCCCTTCCCTCCACCCAACCCAACCCTATCTCAACCACGTTTTCCAAACAACCACCGTACTCCGCCCAGAGGCGCAAACGTCCGCGCATCTTTCTCCGCGCGAACGTCGTGTCACCGCAGATGGTAGCGAATCATCCCCTGGCTACTGCTGCTGCTGGCGAATGGCGATGATCCCAATGCCCGCCCTTTCTCCGTTGTTCAATCGCCTGGAGGCTCCCTGCGAGACCTCATTTCTTGACCTCTCCTTCAGACTTCAGGCATTGTTTTTGGCTAGCTTTGTCCTCGGAGAGATTCCCCCGCTCCAAGTTGTTTCCCGGTTTCTTGGTTCCTCCATTTTGAAGCCATGGCTGCTGTCTCAGTCTCATCTTCGACTGCCAAGGCCGCAGCTTGCTTTTCCGCGACTGAGCTTCGGACCTCGTTCTTGAAGCCAGTCGTGTCGTTTGTTCAAGCCAAGAAGCCTGCTCGTTCCTTCTCAGCCGCAGCGGGTCGGTGCGAGGCGTCCTTTATTAGGAAGCAGGATGTTTCGGCGCAAGCTCAAGCTGTAGAGGCTGAGGCTGCGACGGTGACGAATATCGCTGCAGATGTGACTCAGGTCGGTAAAATGCCTTGACAAGATCGTAATTTTTTATCCTTCTCCTTTTCCGTATTGTTATTTTTTTACTGAAATTAACTAATTAGCAATCTTGATGCTTGTCGCATAATGCTTGACGCGGTTACTCGAGAAGCTGGCAAGCATGTAAAATTTATTATTTCAGAAAAGTTTTCCATGTGCTATTCGTGCAGCTGATCGGCAGCACTCCGATGGTGTATCTGAATAAGGTCGTCGACGGCTGTGTCGCCAACATCGCCGCGAAGCTCGAAATCATGGAGCCCTGCTGCAGTGTTAAGGACAGGTATGCCGCTTCATTCCCCGTCTTATTTAAAACTGTCAGCTTTTATGAGAGTCATAATAATCTATGAGCCGTCAGGCAGCGTCAAGGACAAGAGGAAAAAAAATAATTGTTGAAATGGAACGCCTTTCGTATGAAAATTTAGCTGGACGCCATTTCCTTGATTCTATGCGCATTTCGCATTGTTACGATCCGATTCTTAGCTGCAGAGGTCGTATGTCTGGTGCTTATTTCCACTCTCTTTACCATCAAGTGGTACAGATTTTTTTCTTTCTTTCTTTCTTTACATTTAACCTGTCCTGGAGTCTTTATGCGGAAATTTCGAAGAATCTCAGAGGTCGTTAGTCCCATTTCGCGTCAATCTACACGCCATCTCTCTGTGTCTTATTTCCGAATTCATTGCGCTTGTCATTGCCCTACCCCACCCGTGTTCCGCAGAATCGCATACAGCATGATCAACGACGCTGAGGAGCGAGGCCTTATTGAGCCGGGAAAGGTAAGCGGAGGTCAAATTCCAGCTCTTTTTATCAAAATTCTCCCTACCTTCAGCTTTTCGTAACAATATATTCTCGCGTGTCTCAGTTACGCGTTTCATCGCCTTGTGCGATCTCTATGACGCGTCCCTCTCGTCATCCCTACACCCGTCAACTCTGTCAGGGCGCGCTGGTGGAGCCGACGTCGGGCAACACGGGAATTTGAGGTACCAATATCCTGGTCACAAAGCTCCTTGTCCTGCTTGTCCTCCCCATCCACTCAGAGCGTGCTGGTGGAGCCGACGTCGGGCAACACGGGCATCGGCTTGGCGTTCATAGCAGCGGCGAGGGGCTACAAGCTCGTCCTCACCATGCCCGCCTCCATGAGCCTCGAGCGCCGCGTTCTGCTGCAGGCTTTCGGCGCGGAGCTCGTTCTGACTGACCCCGCCAAGGGCATGAAGGGCGCTGTTGCTAAGGCGGAGGAGATTGTTTGCAGCACAAAGGACGCGTACATGCTGCAGCAGTTCGAGAACCCCGCCAACCCCAAGGTAGGATTGGCTCGACGAATCCTTTCTTTCGGTAGAATGTGGGGCTGTGACTGAAGGGGCCGGGCTTGTTTTGAGACGGTTTGGGACGGCTTCAAATCAGCATTGTTCCGGACGGCTCCGCAGCTTTAAGAGGCGTGTGGCGCCGAGCTCGTTCTGACAGACGCCAAGGGCATGAAGGGCGCGGTGGCCAAGGCGGAGGAGATCGTGAAGGGTACCAAGGACGCGTACATGCTGCAGCAGTTTGAGAACCCCGCGAATCCCAAGCTGCGGCGGGATTGTACCTGAATGACGCTGCTCAGGACAGGGTGCTGTGGCCAAGGCGAAAGAAATCGTGGGCAAAACCTGACGCAGCGTGCATGCTGCAGCAGTTCGAGAAGCGTGCGAGATTCAAGCACCAGAATTTACAAATTTGAAGCTTCAAGCTGATACATTGCAATTACGCATCAACTTATCTCCCTTACCCCGTGTTGCACATTCTCTTCTCACGACTTTTGAGGCGCCTCAAAAGCTTACCCCTTTTGAGGCGCCTCAAAAACTTACCCCGTGTTGCACACTCTCTTCTCACGCACCTCCTCCTCCCAAAACTAAGCCCCACGCTGGTACGTAACTACGCATCAGGCTATCCCCCTTACTGCACACCCCCATGTTGCACTCGCTCTTGTCGCGCACCCCCTTCTCCCACACACTCTCCTCTCCCTTTTTCCCGTGCCTTCATCCTCCCTCATGACGTTTGACTCGGTTGGCCGTAGGTGCACTTTGAGACTACCGGGCCGGAGATCTGGGAGGACTTGCGCGGCACTGTAGACTTCCTTGTTTCTGCTATTGGCACGGGCGAGAGAGTCCCCTTTGGAGATTCTGAAACCATTTTCTCGCCTCTTGACCCGTGGCTGGTTGGCCGCAGGTTAACTTTCTGACGACCGGGCCAGCCTGAGATTTTGTATCATTATCGAGCAAAACAGTCATCAGGAAGCCATCTCTTCCCTTCCTTCCCTTCCAACTCGTGGTTCAATTGGCCGCAGGTGCACTTTGAGATGACCGGGCCTGAGATCTGGGAGGACACGCGCGGCACGGTGGACTTCCTCGTCCCTGGCATTGGCACAGGCGGCACTTGAGTCACCTTGGGGAATACTCTATGTCTCTCTTCCCCTCGTGGCTCGTGGTTCATTTGGCCGCAGGTGCACTTTGAGACGACTGGGCCTGAGATCTGGGAGGACACGCGCGGCACGGTTGACTTCCTTGTCTCTGGCATTGGCACGGGCGGCACTGTCACGGGCACTGGCCGGTACCTGCGCAGCCAGAACCCCAACATCAAGGTGAGATGGATGAGTCGGCGGGTGGGGGGGGGGGGGTGGGGTTGGGGCGGGGGGGGGGGGGGGAGTTGGGGGGACGGGGAGGTTTGGCTGACATGGGTGGGGGGGGGCTTTCATGGGCATGGACGGGTACAGGGCGGTACCTGCGAAGCCAGAACTCCAACATCAAGGTGAGATGGATGGATAGTCACAGCAGGGATTGGGTGGCACAAGGGACCTTCTCGTCTATATCATGGGGGACTGAAACGTGGGAGATAGGCACATTGGGCTCTCCCAATCTTGTTATGTTACTCAGCTTTCCTCTCCATGCACTGAAAGGCTTCAAATGACGGCAGAATCATGGCAACAAGGCATTTCACGCACTATGCTGATCTCGGCCCTCCTCCATTGCCTCGCTCTCTGCCCCAATCCTCTTC